CCCCAAAACCCCAAAACCCCAAAACCCCTATCTTTACACAGAATTTTGACAAGATTTCCAAAATTATTAATTTTTGTAAATAATTAGCCAAAAATGAACAAAAGAACGAGAAGAGACCAACTTAGGACTAACACTGATTCTGAAGAGGAATCTGAACTGAACATGTTTCTTAGAGAGCATTTTGGCAAAGGATCTTATGAGAATGCATATGCCTTTACCCCAAAATTCACGGATAGTCGTAAGAAATTCCCTGCTAAATCTCCCGGAATTAATCAGGACGATAAGCCGAGGAAGACTCTGAGGAAATCTTTGATAGCACAAGATGCTGAAAATGTGGAAACTAAGGATGATAACCGATACCTTGCTCCTAAGAATGATAAAGATCGGGCTCATTTGTTCTTGCCTAAGAAAAAGCTTATCAGAAAATTAGTGTCTTTAGTCAAACCCAACGCCAAAAAGATGCATCTTGGCTTGTGGAAATATGTGATTTCAATCAAGAATGGAGGGAATGCCAATACTGGAGAACGGATCAAGGCCTATATCTCTAAAGATGCTGAGATATTTACCAAGAACAAAGCCTTTGAAGCATGTAGGAGGGATCAACAAGATAAGACACTTCCTTATGAGAGGTTCAAAATTGGAAGAGAAACTTCTAATATCTCCAGACTTGAATACTGGGGACTACCTAAAGGAATCGTAAAGGGATTTCATAATAATACAAAGATCAGGAGTCTCTTCGCATGGCAAATTGATTTGTTGAGGTAAGTGCTAATTGAAAGAAAATATGATTATTTATGGAGATTTCTTTTGCCTAAAATTTTATCGTAATTCATCCGACAAGCTTGAATTTGCTCTATCCTTCGAATACCAGAATAACTTAATTCTCTATAGACAAGAAGGAGTATACGATGATGGACGTAGCATAGTCTATTTCGCTCCAACAAGTGGAGGGAAAAGTTTACCTGCTGAGCTAATAATGCTCAGGAACATCTTCGTACCATCCAAAACTAGAACTGGAGTGAGCCCTTACTCAATCAATGCTGAACAGAAGCGTTGTGTCTACATTCTTCCCTTTGTTAGCATAGTGAATGAAAAGACAGAATACCTCAAAAGAATTTGTCAGACTTCAAATCTCCGAATAGAAGCCTTCTGTAGTCAAAGTGAGAATGTCTGGACTCCGAACGTGGACATAGCTGTGTGAACAATCGAAAAGGCCAACTCTCTCCTTAACAAAGTCATTGAGGAAGGGACCTACAGAAATCTGGACATTTTTGTGTTTGATGAACTCCACATGATCCTAGATGGTCACAGAGGATACCAGATAGAATACATCCTAACTAAGCTTAAAGCTCTCGAGAAGTTAGAACAAGAGAGAATGCTCGAAGGCCTCGACTGGAAAGGAGAACCAAGATCCGAGGATGACCAAAACCTCAAGAGCAAGACATTTCAAATCATTGGGATGTCCGCAACTATGGGGAAATCAGAAAAACTGAGTGAGTGGCTTGACTGTGACATCTTTGAGAGTGATTACCGTCCTGTTCCCCTCTCAGAGTATTATATCTCTGATACAAAAATGTATAACAAGAAACATGAAGAGGTGTTTAAATTTGAGCCCCATTCGAACTTCTTGACGGTACTCAAAACTATAGTTCGGACATATTTTCATTTCAGAAAATCAGTGATATTGTTCTGCAACACCAAAAGATCATGAGAAATGCTTGTTCTCAAACTATCAAAGCAGATTGAGAACACGATGACCTTTGAGTCAAAAGCAGATATGAAAGAAATTTACAAAGAACTTGAGATACTCAAGGGAATAGAGTCTCTCGGTTCTCCCAGTAAAAGGTCACAAGAGATACTCAATGCTAGAAATGATATATTGAGAAAACTCTCAATGACTAGTGTAGGTCTCTGAGACACTCTTAAAGAGACAGTTCCTCAAGGAATGGCTTACCATCACTCAGGCTTAACAGACGAAGAGCGAAATATCATTGAGCAGGGATATAGAGATGGTCATCTCTTGCTTCTTGCAGCAACTTCGACACTTTCAACTGGGATAAACCTGCCAGCGAAGGCTGTTATCTTCAACATGCCTCAGATTGGAAGAGCTTTGCTTGACAAAACTCACTACAAACAAATGAGTGGAAGAGCTGGTCGGACAGGGTTCGATACCTTCGGTGAATCAATCTTAATCTGTGACAAGGGTAAATCGCAACACTTGGAACTAACTAAAGATGTACTAATGAAAGGAGATTTTTCAGAGATTACCCTCCAAAGTACAATAGATTTTTACACCTTGCGAAGGTTGATCCTAGAATCTATTGCCAGTACAGCTGTGAAGTCGTTTCGAGAGATCGGAATCTTTCTGAGTCAGCTACTAAAAGTCCAGCTGCTCTCACAAGCTCCTTGCAAGGAATGTGAGGAGTCATACCACAGTAATAAATGAGTCTTTGAAAATGATGAAAACTCCGCATTCTTACTAGATTCCACTCTGAACGAAGAGATAGCTTGCTATAAAGATAAAATTATCGAAGAATCTGACAAAAATCCTGAAGACAAGAAGTTAGACGAGGAAATAATTCAAGAGTTCTACTGTATCAACTGTATCTACGATGCAGTTTTCAAAGTTCTGGTTCACTTAAGAAGACAAAAGTTCCTCGCTCTTAGTGAAATTAGAGAGAATGGATCTGTCTTACCAACATCACTCGGAAAAGCATGCTTCGCGAGCAGTATTACTCCAGAAGAAGGACTTGAGATCTTTAAGGACCTATTCAATGCAAGGTTAGGTCTCCAGTTAAGCTCAGATTTACACTTATGCTTCCTTGTGACACTTTGTATGTCACCTCTCATCGAGCCAAAATGGGATAAATACTCAAACAGGCTAAATCATCTGATCCCAGATGAGGAAAAACTTCTTGAAGAAATAGGTATTGACCAAGAACAAGCGTGTGGATGGGCTTACTTTCCCCCTTCCCAAGATTACCTTAAAGTAGGAGGATCTCAGATCTACCTTGAAAGTAAAAAGTACTGCCAGGTCAGAGAAGAAAGGAAGTTTTCACAAACAGATGAACCTGGTCCAAACAAACTTGATGAAGTCCATGTACTGAGGAGATATGTCAGATTCTTCAATGCTCTAATTATTCAAGATATCCTCAGAGAGACACCTATAAACGTCATTGCCAGTACATACTCCATTAACAGAGGGATAGTCCAGCAGATACAGCTGGCAGCTGTAAATGCTAGTGGAATTCTCAGCTGTTTTTGAGAAAGACTTCACTGGGCTGATCTCACGGTCCTCTTCCTGAGGATCAACGAGAGGTTGAACATGGAAGTTCAAGAAGAACTCTTAGAACTCATGCAGATCAAGAGCCTCAAATCTGAAAAGGCTAGAATACTCTACAATGCTGGAATTACAGATCCAGAAACAGTCCATCATACTAGTGCTGACAAGTTGCTCAAGATAATACAAGAGGGAGAATGCTTCATGTCCAAAAAGTCTAATTTTGATAGAGAAAATCAGTACAGAAGGAAATACATAGAAACAATTGTCTCAGCGATCAAGAAAGAATCAATGTTATTAGTAAAGGACTTCAGCAAGAAGGAGGATCTCTCCTCTTCTTCGCGGAGCGCAAGTTCCGCTGAGAACACCTACCTCGAGATAATCTCCGATGAGGACGACCTCGCTGATATTGACGAGGATGATCTCGAAGAACTTGAAGCTCAAATAAACCAAGAAGATATTCTAGATTTAATTTAATCCAATTTTTCTAACTTAGATAGGGGTTTTGGGGTTTTGGGGTTTTGGGGTTTTGGGGTTTTGGGG